TCCAACTTGTTTTTTCCGTGTACTAAAAATGAAACACCTAATTTCTTGCACGTTATATTCATCCAGTTAACACTTACACAGACTACACAGTTCGTTGCATATTCAACATCTTTTTCCCCTTTCAGAGAGAAAACTTTATGAAAGGCGAATTGGCAACGAGACAAATACGGTATGAATAACAATTTTAAATGCCTGAACTGAGAAAGTGAGCGAGCGAGCGAACGAGAGAAAGAGAGAAAGAAAGAAACAGAGAAAGAGAGAGAAAGATGCTTCCGTTAAAAGTTCGATCAAGAAGAAAAAAAGAAAAGAGCGCTCTCAAGACTGTCGAAGAGCGCAAAGATTGAGCGTGAGTGGGGAGACCGTCGAAAATGATCGCGATAGGGGCAGATTGCGGCCATCACGATTTTGTGTAAAATCTTCCGAAAGATAAGAACGACCGAACTCCGATTCATGCTCAGAGCTCACGCATTTGAGCAGGGTTTACGAGGCTTGAAGCGTACGAAGGAACCCCAGAAGGGGTGGATCCGGTTTACGAGTCTTTCCGCCTCGGTGTTCACGCAAGATAGAACGAGAGAAAGACGAGAGTAACGCGCGCGCACGAGAGAGAGAGAAAGAGCGGCGAAGAGGAGAATACATCACTCATGTCCTCTTCTGGATTAGAAAACTGAGCTTCGTCTAGGAGCCAATAAACGTAAGACGTTGAATAAAATTTGAGAAGAGCGAAGAGGCCAAGACGTTGTCGCGGAAATCGAGCAGGTGTAAACGACGACGACGTCGCGCGCGCGAGAGAAAGCATCAACCGACTATATCCTCCAGCGGGGACGAGCGATCGCGATGTCGGTTATGAAACGGAGATAACGTAGCCCTATATTTGATCGGCGGGCGCGTCCGGATTCTTTGGAACTTCCAAATTTAGGCGGCCTCGAATTGAACGAAGTTTAGACTCGAAGAGAAACTTCCTTCCGGCAGCTGAAGAGGCAGAATCGGGAGATAATCGGAACCTAAAGTACGTCCAAATATTAAACTTTCCACGAGAAAGGTAGGGATCGTGTCTTACCAAGTTTTGCGAATTTGCAAAGTTTGTACGTCACATTATTACACGAGAGATGTCGTCTGTGTGATCTGTCTTTTAACTTATCGCCAAAAGTGTGTGTGACATCATACGATTCTTCTACATCTTCGACACATCTGCGACTTGATGTCGAGCATTCATACGACCGTTCGATATTGCCACACTGCGATATGATCTACAGTAGGCATGTATGATTTAACACAATAAAAATTAAGATACCTTGATATTACAGAGACTTTGATAGCAAGATCAATCCATATCAACCCACAGTATTCGTAAAATACTCAAATAACCTATAAAGAAACGAATATTTATATTAATAGTCGTTATTAGGAACTTCTCTCAAATGAGATACCCAGATTTGAATTCAGAGTTAGATGAGAGTTTTTCAGTTGAATCGCGATTACAGATATGATGTCACACATACCGTATGATTCAACTAAAAAACTTGGATCTAATTCTGAGTGAAGACCTGATCTCACGTGAGACAAACTTCGAGCAACGACTATTAATACAGGCCGAAGAGATACGGAAAGTTGAAATTCCATTTTTCAAAAGAATAGCTCGACAGATAATCGTTCGAGAAAGTTAGAGGAACTTCGGGTATTAAGAGGACGCTGGATACCGACAATTTCCTACTTTATATTATTTTTCTATTTAGTTGCATAGAATTGTTAATAATTTTACAAAATAAAGTACAAATGTTAATGATTTTACAAAATAATAAGTACAAATGCCAATGCATGGAAAGGCGTCAAATATTGTATTAGAAACAAAAAAAAAGTCTTATAAATTTTCTTGTTTGTTTCCGATAAAATATTTGATGTCTTTTCATGCATTGATATTTGTACTTCTACTCTGTCAAAGCATTTGCAATTCTATACAACTAAATAGAACCTATGTAAACTTAGCGCTCCACTTTAATAAAAATTCTCCTTAATTGCATTTGATTATGCTCAATTTGTTTCCGTTTGTTCCACTTTTCATTTTGTTTGTTTATTCGGTTGGGCGTTAGTGAAAGGAAAACTCGAGCCATATTGATATTTTCTCTTTTGTATTTACAAAACGTGAAATCAAAGAACTCACTGTTTGATTTTATTTGATTTACCACGAATGTCGCGGTTTAAGGGCTTGTATAGGGCTCGCAAATTTTCGAGAATCGGCCTCCGAAAGTGGGATCAAACGTGCGTATCTCGTCGAGTACTATCGCCTGAAATACACTTTGAGTGAACATTTTTTTCTGTTGCCTCAGTAACTTTCGCAAAGCTTTGAAAAAAATTTTCAAATTTCCGAAGTTTGTGTCAGCGCAATATTGGTGGCAGAGCCGCTTTCTATCTCCGAAAGTGGAGTCGAGCGACATTACAATAATGAAGTCATGTTTTATCTGATTAAAACCCGATTTCACCAACGTTTAACCCTTTCGTATTCGTCGCCTGAGGCAACACGTACTTCGAATTGACGTCAGACGCCAAACTAATCGATATTTTTCGCCATCAAACTGTCAAATGTTGTTGACAATTCTGTCCTTCACGATTCTAAGCGCAATTTTAATTTTATTATGTAGTTATAATAGTAAAAACTAAAAAAATTATCGGCACTCGCCATCTCTCCACTTCGGCGCTGGCCGTTCTATAAATAATCGCAATATACTAATATTTCATTTTAAAATTTTAAAAGTGGACTATACAAAATACAAATATTCTAGTGCGTTATTACGATATGAAAAGTGGAAAATTATTATTGTGCAGAATATAGTTTGCACTAAAAATAATGCTGCATAGCAAAGGGTTTTTCTGAATATTTTGATTTTATTTATTTATTTTTCTATTATTTATCTTATTCTATTTGCTTTTGGTGAACAGCGTTCGCCACACTTTTATATTATTAGAAACAATAACGTGTAGAGAAAAAATTGTTCTTGCGAATAGAATTAATTTAGGGTTGAAAGGGTTAGGGAGATACTGAAGTTAAAAATAAACTCGAAAAATAACAATAACGCAGAAACGATGGTCAGTAACACAATCATGCTAATTTCTTGTATATACAGAACTTATATAAATGTGTATTGTTTTATTTTACCATATTCAGCGGAAAACCACGTGTGTAGAAATCTTTCTGTAAACTTTTCCAATATTTTTAAGCTTTAGATGAATTCAGTTGCGAAGGTATGCAATGTTTTTCAAAATTTTTCTGTTTGAAACATCCATATTTTTGATTTGTACAAGCTACAGAACTTTTAGATTAGGCAAATATTACGCTTGAGATTTTACATTAAAAAATTTGTTTCCATTTCTGTCACATATTGAGCAATAGCTTTATTTATTTTTGCACGTACTTTCATTTCATATATAAAAACATTTGTAATTATGTACAACCAATACGACATACGACTTGTTGACGTAAACTGTAGAAAAATGACAATGTTTAGTCGATAAAGTTTTCAGCTTCAGTATACCCTTAAACTTCGATTAAACCTTAACCTGAGTTTAAGTCTTTGTCGGAAGGCAGTTTAAACTCAGATTAAGACTTAATCGACATGGGTAAAACCGAACATAAAAGCCGACATGTTGCACGACATATAACGAAATAATGAAAGGAAAGCTTGAACTAAGTAGCTGTTAATGTTTCTTTTTCTATGTTTACAAAGCGCGAAATCACAGGACGTATTTGATTTCGCGTCGCGAATGTCGTGGCTTAGGCTGGCGCTTTGTAAACACAAGAAAACACATCAATATGATTCGAATTTTACTTTAATTGACGCTTAATCGAATAATCACGACTGAAGAGGAATGGCGTGTGGAAAGGAAAGCTTTCTCTCCAACCTCGCAAGTTGCATTTCAGACTTTAGGTTCCCCGAATATACATATTTATGGGGATCTTCTTTAATCATTAATTGAAGAAAATTGGTGGATGATCGCGATAACAAGTTAATGATATCTAATGAAGTAAAATATATTAATGTTATCTAATTAATTAAAAATCTACAAAGTTATTAGGAAGAAACCACTATAGTTTATCTACAATATCTCGCGTAATCATTCACAAATCTTCTTTAATTAATAACTTAATAATTATTGCCAATATCGCAAAATGATTTGGGACTTTTAAGTTCACCTTAATCCGTACTATGCCTCCATAAGAAGAGCTGTTCAAAGATTGTTTAGGGACACTCTGTATAGTATGTTATATGAGAAAGTAAACACGATGTCGGCTATTAAGTAGTAGTTGTTTTATATATATTTATAAAACATATTATAACAGAACTTTAAAAGTTACAACAGATTATAAATTCAATGTTGTTTACACTACTGACAGCGTTAAAAGAAATGTGATTTTCAGACTTTTCTAAAGTTTTACCTATCCTTTAGTTTTTTATTTAATCATTTTCCTACTATTTCTAATATTATTTGATCACACAGACACATTAATATTTATGAAAAAAAATAAAAATTACTTCTTTTGCAAAATAAATAAAGAATTCCGTTGCTCAATTTATTTCTTAATATCCTTCCAAAATCTACCTTGGAAAATTAATATTACATTAAAATTACTATTGATATACTATTGATATATTGATAAACAAAATTTATAAAAAATACGTTATAAAAAAAGACACTGGACATTACAACTTGAACGAAAACTAATTTCGAAATTTTTGAATAGTTTTCGATTCATCTTTCAAGAACCAAATTGTATTATCTGATGCCTCTGATGTTCCTCCTGTAATTCTCCTCGCGCTTCGCTTTTAATTTGTACACGCACGTCGGTTTGCAATTTGTAAATTTTGACCTGTGTCAACCGACGCTACGAATATAGATATTCCGGTTTCGCGCGACGATGATTTTTAATAAATCCGGAAACCACAGGCAGGCGCGGGTCGCTCGATCGACACCTACCTGCGCGGAATGAGAATTTCATTGGCACATACCTGCAGTGATTGCGGCGAGATGCATGTGTGATTCGTCGATATGTCCCCCGTGATCATCGGAGGTACGGACGAGTTGCATTTGCTGATGCCGTACGTTCCCGCTCTTCCATATTGAGCGTGCTCCACAGAGATGGTCGTACCGGGTGGGCATTTCAATGTCATCGTTTCCTCGTCGCAGGCCGCGCGCTGATAGGTCTTCAGGGTGCCTGACAACAGGGCTGTCGAGTTAAAAACACACGAGAGGAAAGGAACGAAAAATACAGCGCGATCGAAAGTAGAAGTGAGATTGAACGAGTCGACGGCGAAGGTCGAACCCGCAAAGTCGACGTGGATCGAAAGCGCATTTGTAAGAATTATTGAGCGACATGGACAAGTGGCGAGACGTTAATAGAACAGACGGCGCAAAAAGCGCGACGTGATCGTCGGGAGGTCGAAGGGTTAGGTGAAAGACATGCACAAGTAACAAAGCGCGCGAAAGAAAACGCGAGCCGAGGGTTCGAGTCGAGTATCGGGGATCGATGGATGAGCCGTAATGGCGTCGCCGCCGCAACAGTGATCAATTTAAGGGGATTGAGAGTAATTAACGAGTGGATCAAGCGGGATTGGTTCGGTCAGAGCGGGCACGTATGTATCAATGGCGCGAATTCGCCCGCGAAAGCAGCGTCGTTTCGTTTGCACACGATACGCGGTTTAACGTAGCGAGAGAGCGGAAGCAGTCGACATTTGTGGAATTTAACGCGGAGATCGTTCGCGACGATGGAGTTTGCGGAACGCAACCGCAGACGTTCCAGCGTGTAAATGCAGATTCGGACGATAATTTCGCGAGTGCCGGCCAATAAAGGACACACAGCACAGTCGCAGAAGTTCCCGAGGAAATAGCCAAGTGATTGTAACAGCGCATGATAACAGCCAGCCGAGAAATGCGACGCGATAAGAGCGATTCAAGCGTGTTGAATGAGCCGATGTTGATGCACGAGAAATGCGCACGAGACACGTTAATGCGACAAAACATGCGGTTAATGCAAGCAATTATGATGCCGGCACGGGGAAAGTTCGGTTTCAAGCGCAGACGCGTGATATTTGCGAGCCGAGGGAGCGAAGCATGCCAATGTGTGTGTCACCAGCACCGATGCGTTAATACATCATCCCAGCCATCACCATCGCCGTCGTGGTTAAAGAGTCGGCGTCACCGCCACCAACACCATCAGCGAGTTATCAGCAGCCCACGGGACGGCAGCAACCATGTCGATATCCCGGCAACATGAAAAATAAAGCAGACAAGGGAGCTTGTTAGTTACGTCACGAGGAGTCACGTCCAAGACGCGCGGGATATGTAAATTCTTCAATATTTCCCGACACAACGCGAGCCGAACGGCAGGAATTCGCACACAAGGAGCGGCGGCGATAATTCACGCGCCGCGACGAAGGAGAGCATCTGTCTGACCCGATATTGGTCGTTTCTACTGCGACGTAGCGCTCGAGCTGCAACCGGCGGGACGGAGGATGCGCTTTCCAATTTTATTCAAGTAAATTTGCAGAACGGAAACAACGACAGATCGGGATCATTTCTATCGTTCGGATATGCCCGCGATCTCGGCGCCGCTGACGCTCTCCTCTCGCAAATGTTACTTTATACAGATTCCTCCTCGAGGGCTGTCCGAAGGCGCCAGACGTCACTTTACGGCGCCACCAGTTTAAGACTGGTGATACCGTATTTCTCGTTTTTTTCCGTGCCGCTGAATACAGCCACTTAGCCTTTGCTGGTGAATTCTGTCGTCCCTCGAGCGGAAAAGTGTAAACTGCTAATTATAATTCGGGAATCTGGCCAAAAAGTGTTGCACGCATACACAGTAAATTTGGCACAGACTACAATGTAACGTATCGAATTAATTCAAAGTGGATATTATTGTCAAAATTATAGTTTAAAAGAAATCGATTTTTTTAAATCGCTGGAAAGACGGGCTTTTTCCGAAAAATTGCTGTCCTTGTTACTTGTGTATGTGTATGTGTGAAAAGAAAAGATATTTAAAAAATATATATAATAAATTTTGAACATGCGAAAATTTACTCTGCTATTACCAAATCAGTTTTTCTATTTCTTAACTATAATATTATTCCAATTTTAATGAAACTCAGAGAAGAATGGTTATGTTCTAAAAGGACCATTTCGCAATTTTATATACTTCCTACTCTTCTAAAAATAAACACTAAAAAAATATATGAACGACGTACATCTAGGACTATATAACCCCGGTCTCCCCTATCCAGGAGCCTTAATTCACGAAACACGCGATTCTCGAAAATATAAATATTACGACTTTGTTTCTACTATGCATAGTATAATATAGAATACGTCAACGACTATCGGCGATATTGTAGAATTTGTTGTCTTCCGCATCGACATAGTTCGCAGTAATCGTCAAGACAAGACGAGGTTGAGGAAGGACGCAGAGGCGTTTTCCGGCCATAGTACATTGGTACATCGTCTTGGTAACGACTGTCTTCTCGTCCTGGTACCTACATTATATGCATAAAGCCGAGCACAAAGAGTAATGCATACAAACGATTGTTGTACTGACGATAACAAACCCGCGCCATTACATTCTGTGGCGTTCCGCGCGCAACGTTCGTAAATCAACGACCGCGAGCACGCAAACTGTAAAGCGCGGAACTGCACTGGCAGCTACTTGGGATCTTCGGGGGCCCGCTGTAACCCGACTACGTGATTGGAATGACCGAGCGTTTCGATATGCCCCGATCTACGTGGCCGAAGAATACGCGAAGGTGAAGTTCGAATAGTAACAACGCGCGTGAGGCATTGTATCGCGATACGACACGCCGTCTGATTACACTTAATCGTGGATAAGTCTCTCATGTGATCTTTCTTTCTCCGTTCTTCGCATACAGCGAGTAACACTGACGTCTTCTTTCGTCTCGCTTCCATTCAAACAATCAGCTTGCTAAAATCTGTCATAAAAAAATCGAAAGAAACTTTGAGAAGACAATCGAGGGAAGGGACTTGGAGAATCTTTAGAATTTTTGAGATTTTATTTTACGTCGCTTATTTGTAATGTGTAACAGAGCATATATTGTGATAAAAGTTGCAACAAAATTTTTGTAATCTTGAGCCATTTATGTTCGGAATTAATATATATTTAATTAAAAATGTTATACACGTTTGACTACAAAATTACGATAATTAGTTGAATGTTTTTATACCGTACATCAAGTGAATCGTTAAATTCACTATGCTTGTGGTAATTTATACCAGAATTTCAGTATAATCCAGTTTAAAATAATATCATAAAAAAATGTAATTTTTATATCATAAAAATATGTAATTTTAATATAATTTTACTACAATATTTTCGCCGCGTATATTACTTTTATTTAGTTTTTTAATAACGTTTTGTTTCTTATGTGGAAACATGTAGACATATTTTCGTGCATGACAATAAACGCTATTCTTTTCTAACAATATGAAGAAAAGCATTTCTTTTGTGTATCTCTCCTTTTCTAATTCAGTGATCTAGTTTCGCGCAATTGCGCAATTTTGATTGTTATATCTCGTCAAAAATCATCATGTCCTATGTACGACATTTCCGCAACAATTCGTTATCCTAATTCGTGTAATCAGCGTCTATTCACTCACACAGTCGCATAGACATGTATATATAAGTAGATAAATAAAAGGAATACGCAAACATTCTACGGAGAGCACATACTTGTTACCGAAAGTAGGTTAATGGCCGTCTCGAACATAACACTGTATCCTGATTTATCTTCTATAATTATTATGAGCTCGCGCGGAAATTAAACGCCAGAATATCGTGGATTACTCACATTTAATGACATCTGGATATTAACGTTATGTTTCCGAGCAAATATTAGCGATTTAATATATAAATATATTAAAAATAATCTAAACATATATTAAAGCGCACGAGGGAAGAGAGTGAATTACATGCACAGTTAAACGTGCGCATAAAAAAATCATTTAATAAAATTCTATATAATTAATTTTAGTACATGAAAGAGAGAACTGTTGATGTATCCGTAATGCATGTCATATTATGCATTAATTACAACCTTTTACCAGACACAATCTAATACGCGGGATAATATTATCAAACATAAAGGACCTTTACATCACGAACGACACAAATATCAAAATTTCCTATAATTATAAATAATGTACAAAATGTCGAGAATAACAAAGTGTTAATAAAATATGATATTGAATGAAGTAATAATTTTATCATGTAACAATTTTATCATCAACTTTTATAAGATTTTACATATACTTCTAACTTTATTTTAAAAATATATTTTTATTATATAAATAGTAAAAACGTTCTTGTTTTGTATGTCATATCTTGATCACTAAAATCGTATAAAAAAAAAACAAAATTGCGTTTTGTCGTTCGAATTACTTTTGCAGGCGCGTTAATGCATGAATTACAGAAAACTTTATCTAAGGCGATTCCTCCCACCAAATTCTTTCGCGGAATGTTCGATTTTGCTCTTATCCTACATCTTAACGTGTGAGAACATCGCGCGCGTGAGCCCACACTTTTACGGCGACAAGCTGTAGAGTAACTCACGGCTGGAAGTAAATTGTTGTGCTGGTAACGGATGAATGTGGCGGAAGTAGGACGGTGAACTCGAATGTTTATTCAGTTGCAACCATACGAGTACGACTTCCGTGGGGAGCACATTATTTAAAAGGTCCATTTATTCGGTAGATCGTATATCGCGTATCGAATCGAGATAGTAGGAGCGAGAAAGAGAGGAGGGAGTGAGTGAGAGAGGGCGGGAGGACAAAGGCTGGAAAACAACTTGTAAATTCGCGGGTTGACATGAATGGCACGTCTGTTACAACTTTTGGAGTGTGGCTTTACATATGATTCTCGCTCCAATCAAGCACTGTTATTTCGGCACTTCACCATGCCTCGTTCCAGGAGAATCGATACAATAATATTATGAACAATAATATGTCATTTTATTGTGAAGACCACTTCGCCTGCGAGATAATAGCGAACGCATAACATAGAGGGTCGATAGGATCCCCGTTTTATTGCGTCCGATATGTGTCAAATATGCATTTCTATCTCTCGACCTTAATTGAAGACAGATCTAGTGCCAGCTAGATCGGTTCTTTTATTCGACGTCGATTACGTTGTGTAATAACACGATATTCCGCGATGAAAGATTAAAC